TCTCTCTCTCTCTCTCTCTCTCTCTCTCTCTCTCTCTCTCTCTCTCTCTCTCTTTCTCTCTCTCTCTCTCTTTCTTTCTTTTTCTTTCTTTCTCCCCGCCCTCCTCCCCCGCATACAAGGTTTCGCTATGTAGCTCTGGCGGTCCTGGAACTAGTTCTGTAGACCCGCTCTCAGACATCCGCCTCTCTCTGCCTCCTGAGAGCTGGGATTAAAGGCATGCGCCACCACTACGCGGTCTACATGCTGGTTTTCTCTAGAACAAAACGGCTAAGTGTCACAGCAGTGGTTATGAACCACTCTTTAGATAAGTGCAGGCTCAAAGTTTTCAAAGTGTACATACTGTGAAAGAAATATACAGATATCATCAAGATATTAAAAATGTTGTGTGGCTCCAAAACTACAGAGAAACCCTATCTCGAACCCTCACCTCCCCAAAAAAATGTTTGGATTCCCTGAATACCTTCAATCTCTCTGTATTTATTAAAGATGTGATGTCAAATTCATGATTTTGGTTTTGTTCAAGAGAAAATTCGGTACAAACTCAAGTTATTGACACCAGGAGAAAGATTGTTTCCACAGTTTTGCATTTTTATCATCCAGTCAGAATGAATTATAAAAGGTTGAGGAGTTGGCTCTGTGACTAAAGTGTTCCGCAAGGAGGAAATATAAGTTCAGAGACCCGGAGCCCACAGAATGCATGACAGCACATTTGTAAAACTATCAATCATAAGATATTACCTAGCTAAATTAACTCTGACTTTGAGCTCTGTATTCAGATGACAGTCCTTTCCTTAAGATATAACATGAAAAGCAATACATGCACATCACACATATGCAAAACAAATGATTGTATCATTCTGACTTTGTATCTTTGTAAATCAATAGTTATCACCCATTCCTGTCCCAGCTCCCTTTTCTTTTCTTTTCTTACAATAGGCTAGCCATCTTTTGTCCTAGTTGATCTCAGGGGGTTATTTGTACAAAATAGTCTTAAGTAGCAATTTCCTCTGAATCGACATTTTCCAACCTGAAGGGAGGATTCTAAGGACTCAGGAAATAAGCCAAATATACAAAGCTCAGGAAACAACATTCATAAGACCAGCCTAAGGTTACATATGCAATAAAATTTGGCTGGGAAAGGAGAATCTGACCAACAGAGTTGACTTACAAATTGAGCAAAGAGCTCCAGAGGCACAGCTTTCGTAAATAATTCTCACACTGGGTGAGCCTTGTAGCAATACAGCTCCCTTTGAGTCACCCATGCTTCTGGAAGCAACTCAGTAAATTTACTGTTCACTGAGTTAAGCTTGGTGCCATTTCAGTAGTAGTAGTGTGTTCATCAGGGCCCTGTCTAGGATGAACACTTGTTTGTTCTTATCTCCCAGGAAAAGTCACAGGAGAACAATACATTTTAGAGTTTCTTTAGGTGGTTTCTTTTAGAGGAAATGGGTAAAAACACAGTAACAGATTTAAAAAGATTATTCATTCTGATTAGCATTTAAAATGTATGTGTTAATAATGAATTTACTATTTAAAATTTTCTAAAATGAAATGTGATGTTTAGGGAGACTGAAAATGGGAAAAAATAAGGATGAAATAGGTTTCTGCCAATGCAAAATGCTAGATCAGACCAAATTAAAAAAAAAACAGATAAATGCAGATTTATTGGGCGCAGCTCCTTGGTGGATCCACAGGTCCCAAAGAACAAGGCCAGAGAAGACACACACCTAAACTAAGGCAGAGAACTTTTATCAACATTAAGCAAGGGGTGTTGATGTGCCAGCCAGAAACTGGAACTGTACCTAAGCATCATCAAAAGCTAAGTCCCTTGGTATGTACGTTGGTGCCATTCCCTTGTTCATGGTTTTCTCAATGTAGGTGGGGTTGGGGGAAGTAGAGTAGATGGGGTTTCCCAGCTTATGCACGAGGGAGCAGGGGTTCCAACTATACAATATGAATGAATAGATCACAAAATTGTGAGAAAACAGGACTGACTTGCTGTTTAATAAGACTCCATTATAATGTGTGTGAGTAGATATACATATATGCATATTTTCTGTAGATATTTAAATATATATTTGTTCATATGTCTCCATGTATTTTATCATATAAAAATGAATATTCAGAAAGTCTTGGTTCTATACATTTGTGCTGCATATCTATGTGCTAGCCATGAAGCACAGAGACTGTTTCTAATTTCACTGGACCTCAGATTTCCTCATGTGTAAAAATGCGTTTGGGGGTAGGTGCTAACTTTCCTGACTTAAAAACCTATGATTAAGAATCTCTTATCTATTAACATTCTGCTAAATAACTTACCAGATGATTCAATGGTATTTCAGTATAAATTCATGACATATGCTGCTGCTTTTCACTGTGTCTTTTTATCATGTGTGTAATTTCTTTTTTACATGACAGTGACTCACAAATCATGTGACTGTATTCTCTTAAGGAAAAAGCATGTGTTTTCTAGTAGTATGCATTGTTATTCATAATTTCTATGCAACTATGCTAACTTAGGAGTCTAAGCAAGTAATAAAAATGTCGATATCTTATTACAAGTATTGACATTTGTTTAGTGTGTAATTTAAAAGGACAGCATTCATATTTTATGTTCAATGTTAGTTTTTGTAGTGCACTCTTTGGAGATCACACCTTTAATTCTCTGAAGTAATCCTATCATATAGGTTTCCTTTCATTATTTCAGACAGAGAATTAGTCTTTCCTGGGGATGAACCTCCTACATGGTTATCTACTACCAAGTGGTCAGCCCTAAAAACAAATACATGCAAGCAACACTAAATGGACCAAGTAGACCTTATATATTTACATTCTATTGTGCATATTACTGTGTGTGTGTGTGTGTGTGTGTGTGTGTGTGTGTGTTTGTGTAACAATAAAGAGAGGCCATGAATTTGGGAGAGAACAGTGTGGGTGACATGAGAGGAGTTAAGAAAGAAGAGGGAATGGGAAATTTTATAAATACTTTTCACATGTCTGAAAATTTAAGAAATAAATTAAATGAAGAAATAAGTAAAGGAGTCATTTGTGCATTAATCTGTTGACAAAGTTCTGTTAAGCTAAATAACCCTTAGTATAATGAAAAAATAGATAGTAACACACATTCAAATTTTCCAGTAACAGAAAGATTGTTGTAATTTGTTTAAAGTACTTTTCAAAGGGTATCTGTCTTCTTATGATTGACTCAAATGATTTTAAATGTTTTGTGGGTGTAGTTTTACTCTGATATTTTTCTAAAATTTATATAGTGATTTCTGCAGAACCCACGTCTTAAAACTGCACAGAGAACATGTTGATATGAGATAAGCCAACATCATTTTGACTGGAAATTATTGAAAGGGTAAAGATACCATCTGAGATACATAAAATATTATGGTTTAAGGTCAGAGTCAGAGACTGATAGAAACATATGGGGCTGTTGCAAAAGAAGGGGTGTGTTTACTGACAAAAAAAGAAAAGGGAACTGAAGGATGATTTTTTTAACCTCAGTTTTTTCATTGTATTCATTTTCTTTTGCTAAATTTTATCATTGTATTTTTTTGTTACTTATGGGTCACAAAACCATGTGCCTTTTCCTATTAATAAATATAAAAAGTTAAAATGTATTGTAAAGTTTATATTCTGTAGTGCCCTTTCCATACCTGTACACCTGCTCCCCAGCTCTTCTGTTCCCTATGTAGCAGGGTTGTCAGCGTCTTGTGTATCTTTTCAGGGATATTTGACATATACATGCATATTTTAAGAGCCATTGTACATTGATCAGTATTGATCATTGTAAAGTACATTGATCATTGGAAGAAGCTCACCTATGTATCAATTATCTCTCTTCCAGTATGAAGATGTGCTGTACAATATTTAACTGACCCCACGGGTGTGGGAAGTCCTTCTGTGTATGTGTTGCTTTTAATGGTTAATAAAGAAGCTACTTTTAGCCAATGGTTTAACAGAATGAAGCTAGGTGGGAAAAACTAAACTGAATGCTGGGAGAAGGAAAGTGGAGTCAGTGAGAAACCATGGAGCCCTGCCAGAGACAGATGCTGGGCAGAACCTTGTCAGTAAGCCACAGCCACGTGGCTATACACAACTTAATAGGAATGAGTTAAATTAAGATGTAAGAGCCAGCCAATAAGAAGCTAGAGCTAATAGGCCAAGCAGTGATTTAATTATGTCTATATTCTTGACTGAAAATGTCTATCATCTATAGTAGTTCTAAGGTGAACTTTTGGGGATCACTTGAGTATACTATAATATCATCAACAAATATAGATACTTTGGCTTCTTTTCTAATTTATATGCCCTTGGTCTCCCTTAGTTGTCTTATTGCTCTAGCGAATACTTCAAGTACTGTGTTTCATAGGTATGGAGACCTGCTTATAGTAGAATCGCCTTGAGTTTTTCTTTATTTAAATTGTGATGTTGACTATGGGCTTTCTGTAAAATGACTTTGATTATGTTTAGGTATGTCCCATGCATCACTAAAGTCTCTAGTACCTTTATCATAA